ATAGATAGATAGATAGATAGATAGATAGATAGATAGATAGATAGATAGATAGATAGATAGATAGATCGATCTCTACATACACTATGTACTCACAATGGAAGGGATACGTTAGAATACCACAAAATAGAAAAAATAGCTGCAATTGTAATGATTATTTTAATTTTTCATTTAATTTTAATTTTTAAAATTGTATTTATCTGATCACTCGTTTTTGTCGACAAAATTACATTGTTTACTTTTTTTTACAATTCAGTCTACAACTATAAAAATCTAATATTTTAGATTTTACAGAGCAATGAAACATAACATTTGAAAAACTGGAATTAACAAAAGTGACTAGCATTGGAGCAGAGTAGAAGTAGACAGCAGCACGTTTTGTCTGACGGTAGTGAATGTAACTTTCCATCCCCCGCCTCCTTCTCCTCTTAGCGGTCCATCGGCGCAGGCTCACGACAAAGTCCCCTCCGGATCCAAGACCAGCTCCTGCTCAGCCTCCACACCGGCCCCAGCTCCTGCCGCTTCCTCGGCCGCGACCCCGACACCGCTCCCTGCTCCCGCACCGGCCACGGCGACCTCGGCCCGGGCCACGTCTCTGACCCCTGCGTCCACGGCTCCGGCTGCACCGACGCCCTCGGCTCCGGCCCCGACGGCCAGCTCCTTCCCCCCATCCCCGAACTGCCGCATCCGAGAGGTGCACTGTGGCAGCCAGGTGAGGTTGGTCGTAATCGCCATCCGGGACATCACCAAGGGGGAGGAGATCACCGTGGACTACAGCCTGACAGAGTGGGGAGACAACTTGGTCAGTGCCTTTTAAAGAAAGACCCATACACGACACACAGGTTTCTGCTTCAACACTTCACAGTCTGAACCCCAAACGGTTTATTGCCTCGTACGTTTGAACATAAAAGGAATTTGGTTTGAGTGCAATAGTATAAGACATCATTTAAGACAAAAAATTATGAAAATGTACAGTAAAATATGACAAACAAACAAATTAAGAGTATAAAACAAGTCGGTTGTTAAAAGTGTCAAGTGTATATGTCAGTGAAGAGTTGAGCATGAATGTGTAATTGTCTGTCGCTGACCATCTTTGACACAATTTACACATTTATTCCCTCTTTAGTTAACCCCCCCCCCCATATGAAATTGGTGTCTTGCATTTGTATTATTCTTGCTGATAAATTATAAGATTAATATAGACAACCTGACTGATTTCCAGTGCAGCCAGAGTGTACAGAAGTCTGACAAAATATTGTCAGCGATCAAAAAAACCAAACAACAAATGTCTACGACTATAAGTTTCATAGCAAGGCCGTCATGCAGGTGTCAACAGTCACTCCACCAACAGACCAGAACACCATGCAGCCACAGGACATGCACGCTCTCCCCTACTGGTTCATTTCCTAGTTGAATTTGTTTAACCTGGATTTTAACCCTAACCTGATATAAACATTGTCCCTGGCCACTTGGTCCTCACAAGTATAGAAATACATTTTACACAGCGGGCACGTCTCTGATGACTTCAGATAGGCAGCCATATGTGTTTTCACACACTGTTGATCAGTTTCACACAATCACTGTCTGGCACGCATGCACGCACGCACGCACGCACGCAGAAACCATGGTGATGGTTGAGCTCCAGTTCCTCTCTACCTATAGTGCTTTAGTAACAGTAACCATGGTTATTGCATCACATCTGTTCCTTTAAATGGATCTCATTAGATCGGATCAATTATGCTCAACTCAATGATGATACCAGAATCTGTTTAAGGAAGCGAAATTAACAAAATTGAGGGACAAGTGCGAAAAAACAAAAAAACAACTGGTCCCACTTGTTTTGTGTTTTTTTTCATCGCAACAGTAGTTTTTAAAAGCCTTAAATTTGGCTGAGATAAAGTTTTAAAACAGCTTTATTTTTTTAGGTTAATTAATATTATTGGCTGACTGGTTTGTTCTGTACTTTGTGTTCCAGCCTGATCATCTTACTTATGAGTAGTTGAGTGTTTTTAGAGAATATCTCCTGTCCTTCTTTTGTTTGGCTTGTTAGTGGGACATTTGGAGTCCTAATCAGCCTCGGGGGCGTCCTCCTGACTCTCTTGAGTGGCAGCTGAGGCTGATTGTGATGGCAAACACTAAATGAGCAGCGTGCCCGGCCATTTGTTAACGGCTGCTTTTTGTCGCCGCAGGGTTTCCGTGGTACCGTGTCCCCAGCACAACACGAGTGTAACTCCGACACAGAGAATAACAACAATGTCAAAAAGGTAAGAGAAAGAACACCACCTTTTCCCTGAAGCTGCCTTCAGGTGACAAGACGTTTTCTCTCCTACTCAAAGCGCAGCGCAGGAATACACCATCAGGAAGTGGTGACATCACATACAACTACTCTCTCATTGGTTGCAATGACGTCAAGGCTAGTTGGTCGTCACCGCTCTCCCCATAGAAAAAACATGGCACAGTGGCTTAAAAGCACAGTTCGACCGAAAAAAGTCAAGTTTTATTATTTTAAGAAGTGACAACTTGGTAATTGTCAGATCTAAGCTACCCACTGTGCACCGCCTGCTCTCTAAATGGCAGACAGACACAGCTAGCGACTAGCTGGTGAACATAGTGGAGCCTTTAGCAGCTGAAGAGTCGGCAGAAACCAAAAGCAGAGCCGAAGGAGAGTGAATATGACTCCAAATAAATGATATTGTTGCTAGCTGCTGGATGTTTAAACAGGCAACTGTTTGCCAACTAGTTCACAATATCAACTTAAAATAAGATAATCCTGTAGTGTCGTCGTTGTTGTTGTTTATGCTGCCCCCAAGTGGCCATAATATGCATTAATTTCAGTTTAAAGACAATTTTACTCCGAATTCATCTTTTGACTTCTTTGGAAACATGGACCTCATGGAAAAACATTTGGATTCCCATCTTAACTTTCTTCTACTTGCATGAGTGTGCCATGTCACATTCAGCAAACGCTTCAGATAACTATGTAAATGACCAGCATAAACATGACCAATGCCACCCAACAACCCTAATTAACGTCCCAATAATACCATATAAGGCTTTCTGCCCCATATGGCTTATCTTATCTTAACAGGAATAAGTCCTGCTTTCAAGTACATAAAGGAAAGTCTATAATTTGTAACAGCGACAGCAGCAGAGTTAAGGCCAAGGAATCGGGACAAATAACGAATGCTGTTAATGTTGCGTAAGGGGTTCAAATTAAATAAACCGTTTGAGGTGTTATACAATCACATCAACAGACAATTTAAATAAATGGTGAAATCGTAAAGCTATATGACTAAATTTAGAATTATATTAGCATTTAATTTGAGTTGCAGGGTGAAACATAATTATGATGTGTAATAACTGTAATGTCCCGTGACTCCTACGACAGATCTGGACTACTCGTAAATTGTGTTTGTCTTCAGAGAAAATTCAAAAAGAAAGAGAAATTTGGTGAATGCATACAAGCAACTTAAGAAGGAGTTGGTTTGTGCGAGTGGTCTGTGCGTGAGGCCGATTGTGGCGTCTGCTGTCCGTCCGCCTCCTGGTCTGGTCCACTTGTGTGCGGACTATTCGCCGCGATGCTCACCTTTTGCTTATTGCCGTAAAACGCAACGACCCTCCTCACTGTGTGCCTCGTTAGACCGGTGAAAGTTTAACACGTCCGTGCAGACATGTCAGTAACAACATTTTTAAATGCACTGACATGGTGGGGGGTTGGTTTCAACAGAGTCAGGGACAACTGTTGTTTAGGAGAAACACCTCTGGGCTGCTGGTGGGTTTTCTCCCCAGATATTGAGCCAGGAGGTCTTATAATACTTAGTTACGTACTAGATATAAATGCCTTGCTAACTTATACAGAGAACGCAGTGAGGAAGGAGGAAGAAGGAAATGCAGGTTTGAAAATAAAGAAGTAAATATATATACATAAATGTATGTATGTATATGTATGTATGTGTGTGTGTGTGTATATGTGTGTGTGTGTGTATGTATATA